GCCTAAATAAATTCATGACCATGCAGCCAGCATGGCCGAAAGTACTCAAAGGAACCCTGTACAAAGACAGTCAGGCCAACAGCACCAAAAAACCCAAATAAAAGGATACATCTAACTGGGGAGTTGTTAAGGGGGGAGCATAAAAGAACCAGCAATAGAAAAATAATGCAATGACAGGATCCAGTAAATACATTTTAGTAATAATTCTCAATGTAAATTGTCTTAATCCCCACCCAATCAACAGATATAGACTGGTAAACTGGATCCAAAAAACCCTCTAACTATATTTTACAAAACACATGCAGACTGAAAGTGAAAGAATGGAAAACAATACAGCATGCATTAGGAACCCAAAAGTCAGTAGAAGTAGCTATCCCATTTTTGGACAAAGAGGACTTCAAGCCAACACTGATCAGAAAAGACAAATTCATAGCACATTGGTAAAGGGAAGAATTCAACAGGAAGAGATAACACATTTAATTTCATAAAAGAAATACTAATGGACATTGAAGGTCAGATAAATATCAATGCAAGCAGAGTAAAGTAATTCAGTACCACACTCTCACCAATAGAGGGGTCAATTAAACAAAATATCAACAACATACATCATAGTTGAACCACATCATCAAACAAATGCACGTAATAGATATCTACAGAGTGTTTCATCCAACAACAACAGAATAAACATTTTTCATCAACAGCACACAGAACTCTGTCCAAAATAGACCACATATTAGGCCACAGAATGCCAAAACTTGTAAAAGGAAAGAAATTATATACATCAGCATGGACAGTAATAAAACTGACACCATAAAAATTTAAATGATCAATGAATCAGAGTTGGTTCTTAGAAAGGATAAACAATTGAAAAATTCTTAGTCATATTTATTTAAAAAAGAAAGACTCTTATTAATGCAATTAGAAGTAGAAAAGGTGAAGTCACAATAGATACTACCAAAATCCAAAGAATCATAAGGAACTACTTCAAAAACTTATATTCCAATAAATTGAAGAATATGAATAAATAAATAATACGAATGAATTCCTAGACACATATGAATTGCTAAAAATTGAACTAAGAAGATATAAAAACCCTTAACAGACAATGAAAAGGCAATAATAGGCAATGAAATACAGGTAGTAATAAAAATTGTAGTAATTAGAAAATCCCAAGAACCAATGGATTCATTATTGAATTTTACCAGAACTTCAGGGAAGAATTAATGCTAATACTCATTAAACTCTTTTATGAAATTGAAAGAGAAGAAATACTGTGAAACTCTTTCCTGGAGACTGGAATTATAAATACCAAAACTGGGCAAGGAATCAACAACAACAACAAAATCATGTCAATTTTCTTCCTGAACATAGATGCAAAAATTCTCGACAAGATAATTGCAAACAGGATCCAACAAATCATTACAAAGATCATGTATCATGACTAAGACAGTTTTATCCCACAGATGGAAGGCTGATTCAACATATGTAAACCAAAAAATGTAATACACCACATAAACAAATGGTTAAAAATCACATAATTATTTCAACAAATGCAGAAAAAGCATCTGAAAAAAATCCATTTATCCATAAATATCCATTTGTGATAACACCCCATTGAAAATATGTACAGAAATACCTAAACCTAAAGTGCTAAAAGCCATTTGTGACACAGTCACTGCCAACATCATACTAAATGGGGAAAAATTGAAAGGATTCCCTCTGAAGTCAGGAATGAGGGCGTCCATTTTTACCATTCTTATTCAGTATAGTACTCAAAACTAGCCAGGCAACGAAAGAAATAAAAGAGATTCAAATAGGGAAGGAAGACGACAAACTATCTTTATTTCCATATGACATGATCCTTTACATAGAAGATCCTAAAACTTCCGCCAGAACACACTTAAAACTAATTTAAAAAATTGGCTAAGTGAGATCAAAGGAGAGAAGCATGTGTTTCCAGAGAAGCACATACAACTATGTATAGTACACAGTACTTGATAGTGTGATCAATGACCTTTACTGTTTTAGGTTCTTATCATAACATGCTGTGCTTTTCATCCTTTAGAGCATAATCCTACTCATATAAGAGTGTTTACTGTAAAACAGTGTGCTGCTATGCCAGTGGTAGCCTCCTGTATCTTTTGTTTAACTGCGTATTTGGATAATATCAAGGGGCCATCACAGATGATTGCCTTATATCTTTTCAGTTTGCACTTAGAAGTTGGCACTGTGTGTGGTACTTTGCAATACACTCAGGTGAAATTGCCTAATAACATATTTCTCAGATTATATTTCCATCACGTGTCACATGACTATATTGAAATTTAAATTTAAAAAATTGGCCTGGGGCCGGGGATTTAGCTCAGTGGTTCTGCCGCCTGCCTTGCAAGCTCAAGGGTCTGAATTCGATTCCCCAGGACAAAAAAAAAAAAAAAAATTTGGCCTATGTGGAGTCTACTAGTTAATTAAAATTTTTTCTCCAGACCACTATTTGTTCAATATTAGTTTTGAAAATCTTTCTAAAACAAATCACATCTTCTAATGTCTTGTTAATGCTTGAGAAGTTTTTTAAAATTATATGGAAAAATGTTTAAGTACTTTTCAGTTTTGCTTTGGTTGAGTTCTATTATATTTGAAGATTATTATAGTTTTTTTCCCCTTGCATTGCTTTTCTTTGAATAATTTTCATTTTTGTATATGTGTTTGTTTAGTGAATGATAATAAAGCTATACATTTTAAATAAAAAAATCAGCTATGTGATAGACTATAAAAAAAATGAAAAGCATTCCTGTACACCAACAATAAACCCATTGAGAAAGAAATCAGGAAAACAATCCCATACATAATAGATTTAAAAAATACTTAGGAATTAACCTAAACAAAGAAATGCTTCAATAACAAAAAATATAGTGCTCTGAAAAGTGTGATTAAAGAAGACATTAAAAATTGAAGGATATCCCTTGTTCTTTGATAGGCAGAACCAATATTGTCAAAATAGCTATATTATGGGCCAGGGATTTAGCTCAGTGGTTCTGCTCCCTGCCTTGCAAGCACAAGGTTTTGAGTTTGATCCCCCCGACCAAAAAAAAAAAAAAAAAGCTATATTATAGGAAATGATACATAGGTTTAATGCAGTTCCAACAAAAAGCAAGCATTTTTTCACAGAACTAGAACAAAATCCTAAAATTCATATAAAACCAATTTTAGTATATGTGCTGCCAAAGTGAGCACAATATGAAACCAGAAGAGACACGAAATAAACAAAGCAATTCTGAGCAACAAGAGAAAAGCAAGTGGTATCAGGATCCCAAACTTCAAGTTACTCTGCACAGCTACAGTTATAAAAAGTCACGGTACTGGCACAAAAACAGATATGTGAATCAGTGGAATAAAATGGAAGGTGCAGAAACAACTTCAGCCATCTGATTTTTGACAAAGGGATTAGTAACATGCTGGAGAAAAGATAGCATCTTTAATAAATGATGCTGAGAAAACTGGTGATCCACATGCAGAAGAATGTATCTAGATGCATATCTCTCACCCTGTATTAAAATAAAATCAAAACAGACCAATGAGTTTGATATAAAAACAGAAACAAAATCTACTACAAGAAAAAAATGGCAAAGCTCTTAAAGACATAAATATAAGCAAAGGACTTCCTGAACAGTACCCCGCAAACATTGCACAAAACGTAGTACCAAGAATCAGGAAATGGGATCATATCAAATTAAGAAGCTTCCAAATAGCAAAGAAAACAAGTTACAATGAAGAGAGAACCTACAGATGGGAAAACAGTTTTGGTAGCTACTGATCAGAAGACTAATATCTATAATATGTAAAGAACAGAAAAAAATTAGACACTGCAAAATAAAAGACTTGTCAAAAAAATGAGCCATTGAAATAAGTAGATATGGCTGGGGATTTAGCTCAGTGGTTCCACCGCCTGCCTTGTAGGCACAAGATCCTGAGTTCGATCCCCAGAACCAAAAAAAAGGGAGAGAAATAAGCAGATACTTTTGAAAAGGAGTTAAAATGCTCAATAAGAACAGAAAAATGTTCAGTATCTTTGGCCATTACAAAAATGCAAATCAAAATAGCACTGAGATTCCACCTTACTCTAATAAGAATGGCTACTACTAAGAACAAAAAAACAATAAATACTGGCAAAAGTTGTGAAGGAAAAGGAAAGTTACATTGCTGGTGGGAATGTAAACTGGTACAGCCACTATGGAAATCAATATGGAGAGTCTTCAAACAACTAGAAGTAGAAATTCCATTTGATCCAGCTACAGCTATCTTCTTTTGAGTGTTTTCCCCAGAGAGTTAAAGTTATCATATTACAGTGATGCATGCATACCCATGTTTATAGCTACCAAACTCACAATAGCTAAATCATGTAATCAGCTCAAATGCCTGTCACCAGATGAACGGTGATGTAAATGTGGGATATATACACAGTGCAGTATAGTCAGCCATGAGCCAGTTTTAAGAAAATTGATGGAGATTTTAATAATTCAGGCACAAAAGATTTAATATCACATGGTTTCTCTAATAGTATATAAATAAATAATGAGCAAAATAAAAGAGATGATAGGAAACAGGGAGGGAGACACTGGAGATGGGGAACGGATCTGGTGAAGGAAAATGGGAGAATGGGGAAAATGGGAACTAAAAACAAGATTCTACAAGTCTATGTCCTAGTTATCCAAAGGATGTAATTATGTAGTTTTAAAACATACTACTAAAACATGTTATACTTGAGAGTATGAAGTTTTCATTGTGATGCCAAGATTGTGTGCTAAGTTATTCGGCGTGTCAAAGGTCTTTTTTGTGGGCCAAGGATGTAGCTCAGCGGTTCTGCCGCCTGCCTCTCAAGCGCAAGGACCCGAGTTCGATCCCCGGTACCAAAAATGAAAAGGTGTTTGTTGCGTTGAGAGAGGATCATGGGGTAACACTGTCAGTGCTCACTGTGCCGACAGTGCGATCACAAGACAACTTACTCTTTATATCCGATGTCGTTTTTGTGATGATATTAGGATCAGGGGCCCAGGTATTGTTGGGATATCCTGCAGCGTTTGAAAATGCTGGGTAAGGAGGGTCTTGGTCTTCATACTCTATATCCTCTGCCAGTAAAATGTATCTATTTTTGTACATATCTTGTCCTTTGCTACTTCTGGCTGATAGTTTGTCGTCTATAGTCCTTAAAATAGGATCAAAACTTGCCTTGTTTGTAAATTTTGGAATCTGCAATAATAAAAAAGTAATCTGATAGCATTTATTCTGAATTTATAATGAATTTTCTAGTCAATTTTTTGAGCAATCTATCAATTTACACATTCATACTCTTCTATAGAGAAAACTAACTTCAATTACTTTAAAATATTTGAAATTAAAATAAAATAAAGTTTTAAAGCAAAAAATTTAATCTCTTAATTGTAGAACTATTGTGTCCATGTGGGTTTTGCTACCTGAAGTTTGATGGAGAGGATGGTCTACTCACTTTCTCTTTTGACACAAGTCTCACTGTGGTGCCCAGGCTGACCTCAAATCCTTAAGTGATCTCCCTGTTTCAGCCTCCCAAGCACTTGTGATTATAGGCACCCACCACCATTCTTGATTCTGAAATATTTTTAAATACTTAAAAGCCACCCGTAGTTTCTTTTAATGACTGAGTTCCCAGGGTTAGCTTTGTTTACTTAGACAACAAATGGCTAACACTAAGATCTAACTCTTATCATATAAATACCATTTCAGTAGTAATCAGGAAAATCTTTAAAACTGAAAGTAAGTAGTAAATTCCCATGAACTGTATCACAAATATTCTTTCAAGACTGTCTCGGGAGCACATAACATCAGCTTTTAAGTCTGAGAGTTTCAGCAATGGTGAAGGGCTCTACCCAGTCCTTACCATGTCACAGTAGAATCTTGTTTTGGATGCATACTGCATATGTTGGATGGGGGAGGGCGCTGTGCTGACTCTGCCTCCTGTGCCTGCCACACTCAGTCAGTGGAAGTGAAACCAGCGTGTCTCAAAACTAATAGCATTTCAACATACTTACACATTTGTGTCCTGCTATTAAGTAGACATACATGTTTTATTATTTAATTATTAATCTTGGCTTCTGTTATTTTATAAAACAATAAGTTAAAATATAAAAGGAGGGCCGGGGATTTAGTTTAGTGGTGCTGGCGCCTGCCTGGCAGGTGCAAGGTCCTGAGTTCGATCCCCGGTACCAGGAAAAAACCCCCAAAATATAAAAAGGAAGTTTTGTTGCTTATATAGACTAACAAAATTATATGTTTTACATGCAGCCCAAGAGAATTCCTCTTCACCCAGTGTGGCCTACTTGACCCAAACTGCTGTTGGAGACCCAGCTATCATAGAAGCATTAAATTCTTAGAGATGGAGGCACTTTAAGGAAAATCCAGTCCTAATCCTTATTTACGCAGAATCGGAGCCTGAAGCTCCTTGTCTGAGTCCCCCGGATGATTAGTAACTTAAATTCTGAGTACCCTACGTCTTCCTTGATTGCTTTGTCCACTGCTCACACTGAAGACAGCAGTGAGGGAACCTGTGGCGTTGAAAGGATCCTAGTGTACACCCACAATGCCAGCTCACCCAGAGAAGACTCGACACCATCTGCCTAACCCTCAGTGCTTCAAGCCGCTGTCAGCTACATGGTCTCCGTTATATGCTAGGTTAACTGAAAGAATGAAATGAATGGCATTTTCATACTGTGGGATTAAAATTTCATTAAAATTAAGCAGCTAACAACATGGCCTGTCTTTAAATCTTCAATGGTTTTCTACTCTGGCTGCTATTTATTGCCCTTGCACAGTAAATAAACTCCCTCTGCAATTCTTTCCCGATATATTTTCTCTCCTCTAACGAATAGTGTCTCAGCCTGGATTTTAAAAATACATCTTGTATTTCTACACATATTATTTTGGTCATTTGCTTTTTGTTTTGTTTTGTTTTGCTTGAATTCCCCCCAAACCCCTTTAAAACAGTTTAACTTCTACCATTTGAAAGATTGCTCTAAATGAATTTAACAGAAAAATTTAAAAATAAAAATAAACAAAATATGTATGTATTAGTAGGCTTTTCATTGGTGGGACAAAACATCTAACATACAATTTAAATGAGGAGAAGTGTACTTGGCTCATGGTTTCAGAGCTTTCAGTCCACGGATGGCTGGCTCCAAGGGAAAATGTGATAGAAGGGAATAGGCAGAGGAAAGCTGCCCAGTGATGTCTCCTTGTCTCACCCAAATGTGTGATTTACTAATGTCCTAGATATCCTTCAAGCCAGTTATGTTGGCCATCAAGATTAACCATCACAGGGCCGGGGCTGTAGCTCAGTGGGTCCGGCACCTGCCTTGAAAGCGCAAGGTCCCAAGTTCAATCCCTGGTACCGAAAAAAAAAAAAAAAAAGATTATATAACTGAGAAGTAGAAGAACAAGTAGTAGAAATATATGATTTCATTTTTGTAAAAAAAATAACCAAAACACTCTCCTAATTTAAGAATGGAATAATTGTGAGTGGATTTGAAATGCTAATATTAGTTTCTCAAAATCAAGGAAGTAATTCACAAGGAGAGGAGGGAGGGGCCTATTAGCTTTTACTCTAACTCTGTATTATTATTAGATGAACATGTAATGCTTTTGTGAATATAGAATTTGGTGAAGTTGTAGAGGGATAGGTGAGATGCTGTAGGCATTCATCTTAGGAATCTAGAAAAGGACAACAAAACAAATAGAACAGGAGCTTGAGGATGGTGGCCTGAAATTGTGCTTCTATGTCTATACTTCTTAAGGTTCTAGCACATTGACAGAAAACATTGAGTGAGAGAACCCACAGCAATCCTGGAAATCAACTGGATGAGATACATATATCCAGAAAATTTGAAAAACTTAAGAAAGAAAATATTAAACTGACTTAATGGGAAATCCCATTCAAGAAAGCCATTATCTTTAAATGTCAGAAATCAGGTAGGCCTGAGAAGCAATAGATTCAAAGTTAGAAATACAGAGAATCAGCTCATGAGTCAATTTTTATAGTTATTAATGAAAGAGCTGCATTTGGAAGAACTGGATCACTTGGACCTTTCTTCATTTCTGTTCACCTTAGGCAGAAGTGTCTTTCCCCAGTCACTCACCCCAAAATCAATAAAGTGTTCTCAATTGAAAAATGTACCATCTGCCTAGATGAAATCTTATATAAGTTTTGAGCCTTGACAGAGAAGCACAGTAGAGTTTTCTGAAACTCTCAGTTTCACATCAAATAAGTAGAGGAGGATAAAAGGGAAAGAAAGTTATGCCCATGAGAGAAACACACTGGTTCTGGAAACTTTAAGTTCCCAAGCCAATCTGCCTAGCCTCTTCCATCCTTACCAAAACAGAGCATACCTATCTCATCAACATGTTCTTTTATCCACAAATATAAGATGAACAAAAGTTATCAGATATATGAGGAAAATCAGTATATGTGAATAATTCATAAGAAAAAACAGAACACCAGAGTAATCAGAGATATTTCTGAGAAGGTAGAGGGTGACCCTTGGAAAAGCTTCTAAACAGTATCTTCAGAGATATCCAAGAGGATGTTGATATTGATTTCCACTTAGCTATATCATTATCTTCTCATTTCCTTTCTCTCTTCCCTTCCCTCTCCTCTCCTTCCTCTCTGGTGCTAGGGGTTAAACAAGACCTTGCGCATGTTACACAAATCCTCTGCTAATGAGCTACATGCCAGCCTCAACATTTGGAATTTAATATAAAACATTTGGAATTATATATAAAACAAACATAATTCTACATTACCAAACCCCTCAAACAAACAAGCAAACAAACAAAGTCCTTGCCTTCTCTGTTTTACCTCATCTCAGTCAATGGTGCTACTATCTAATAAATTGTTAGGGCAGAAATCTCAATGTCACCTTTTTTCCTCTCCTCCTTTCCTTTTTCATATCTAATCCAGTATTAAGCCCTGTGGCTACTGCTTTCAAGATATATTGAGCATGCAATCACTTTTAATTACCAGTCCCACTATTATTATATACGAGCTATCATCTTGCCTAAAGAGTAGTTGTCTCTTAGAGTAGTCTCTTACTCCCTGTGACAAAGGCTTCTAGCTGCCTTCCCAGAATACAGTCTGTCAGGAAACTCAAGTTTTTATGGGGCAGAAATGTCTCCAGCTAAAGGAGACACATCTTCAGGGCCTCTTATGCAGACAGGAGTGGCCATGTGTCAAAATTCTAATCAATTAGAAATAATTGGAAATTTTTAGGAGAAGCAGACAAAAACGAAACAAAAATGAAACAAAACAGAAATAGAGGCAGGCTTAATGGACAGAACTATATTATCTTCTTCCTGCTTGGAATAGGGATTCCATCGAGTGGCAAGTACAAGTTACATACAATGCTGAAGATGGGTGTTCAAGGGGAGAGCTTGTGTCTCTGATGACACCAGGAAACGACTCACCCCACTTAGCTAAATATGATTCTTAACTGATCAACTTTCACAATACTGAGTTTATTCTTCCAAAGCTACAATTCATAATAGGAGAAACCTTAAAAGTTCACAAATATGTATAAATTAAATAATTCTTAACAAATGTGTTACTAAAAAAGAAAACAAAGAAAACTAGAAAATAGATTGATAAAAATGAAAATGAAAATACAACATACTCAAATTTGTAGGATGCAGTGAAATTAGCTGTCTATTAGCATTTACATTAAAAAAGCAAGAGGTAAAATAAACAATCTAACATGAGGAACTAGAAGAAGACCAAATTAAACCCAAAGCTAATAGGAGGAAAGAAATAATAAAGATTAGAGTTAAACTAAAGACATTACAGAATAAAAGACATCAGTGAAACCAAAAGTTGATCTTCATAATAGTAGCAAAGTCTTCCCACTGAAATTCATCCTCAAACCACAGAGCAACAACAACAACAACAAAACAACAATATAGGCACATGAGAAAAAAGGCAACAGAATGCCTCCAAAAACTGCCAATATTCCCCAAAGCAGAACACTAAGGGGCACCAGTAGAGAGGAAATAAAATACCAAATAGTCAAATTATACAAAATGAAAAGAAATTCAGTGACCTCAAAGATGATATATCTAAAAAGATAATAGATTTGATAAAATAGTCAGCAAGGTTAAAGGTTATACTAATAAAAAACTAGTACAGCTAACCAAAATTATTGAAAACATGAATGGCCAATTTAGCAAAAAAT